GCCAAATATGGGTGGTCTCTGGGAAAATGACGTGAAATCGGTAAGACGCATTTGTATCGACTTTTTGGGTTACAAAAACTCACCTTCGAAAAATTCAAAACTGTTTTGTGTCAAACAAAAGCAATTTTGAACGCACGACCTCTTATTTCTCTCAGTAGTGATCAAATGACCCTCCTGCTCCAAACCAGGCCATTTTCAACTTTAGAACCTCTGAACGCCGTTCTAAATATTGATTCACCTGATGTTAATCTTAGTAAACTCAATCGTTACCACTTCAACAATGAATATAATGGACATATGTTCTTGCTTCATCTCCAAAAATAGAGCAATTAGTCACTATCTAGGACAAATCTTGTCATCCTCTTCAATGGCGGCTAGGACGTATTGTTAATATGCATTCTAGGTGAGATGAGACGGTTAGAGTGGCAACAGTTCACACTTCTCAAGTATTTCTGCGGAAATTCAATTAAAAACGTTTGTTATTGTTAATCTTGTTCATTTAATTTTATAGTATGTTTGTGTCAATTTTCCTGTTTAACCCTGTATAAGAAGCTATTTTTAAACAAGTTGAACTTGAAAGCCGTGGTGTTTCCATTTATTCAAAACAAGACGAAGAAACGAAAACGCAAACTAGTAAAGAGTAATTTATTAAAAATTGGGTGAAATCAACAAATGATAACATGGAGGAAATGCAACTCCACAGTTTCTCCCACGAAGATAATATGACGAAAGACCAGAAACTAAACAAATTCATGGCCAGACAGTCGTTCAGCAAGGAACTGGAGAGTGGATCAATTTCGTTAATTAGTTCAAAGAAACAACAAACATTTGTGGATTTTCCAATGCCAAAAATATTGTGCGACTTCAAAAATGTCCAAGAGGTAAAGCCAGACAATCTGTTAACGCCTTGCTCAATTTTACTCAAGAAATCGACAAAATTATCAATACACTGGAAAAACGACGGTAGATCCGATATAATTATACAAGAACTAATAGATTGTGTGAGTGAGAGAAGACAGATCAGACAATATTTTAGACTTCTCCAATAAAATAAAAAATCTGGCCGTTACTGTGCGAAGTTCAAAACGTGATGAATATTTGTTGAATCCAAACCTTTTGAACGATGCAGTGATCAAATTGAGCACAAATTTAAAAATAGAATGGGGAAAACAAATAGTGGAATTGAATCGTCTGAAAAAGTCTGTCAGAATTGTAGAATTTTCTCTTTGGCTTGAAGAAATAAGTGAGGCCATAATGTACGTTGTTCCTGAAAGAGAACTGAATAAAAAGAAGATATATGTCTGTTCTACATCCATTCAACCAGATAAACCAACATTCAGATGTAAATTGTGCAAGAAAGATGGACATAAAGTAGAAAAGTGCCACAACTTCAAAAAAATTAGAAGTTGAGAAACGTTGGGATTGGGTGAAAAAAAATAAAGTATGTTTCAGTTGTTTAGGATCATCTCATCACACAAAACTTTGTAAAAGCAAGAAAACATGTGATGTTAATGGCTGCCTGTACAAACATCATCCTTTGTTACATAAAGAACCTGAAACAGTACTGGAGAACTCCAGTAGTTGTTTACAGCTGATTCTCGGCCTCCCCCCACCACTATGACGTATTAATTGCTTTTTTTATTGGTTGTTGTTTGGTGAAGTTTTTTTGTTGTGCAGTGAAGTCAAGGCGTTGTGACCTTGAAGTGTCTGGTGCATGAAAAAACTTCACCAAACAACAACCAATAAAAAAAGCAATTAATACGTCATAGTGGTGGGGGGAGGCCGAGAATCAGCTGTAAACAACTACTAACTCCGAAGAGCAAGTCTGCCATCATTCCGCCAGGGTCAAGGAGTCTGCAGTTTTATTGAGAATAACTCCTGTAGAATTAACTGGCCCCAAAGGTAAAATCAACACCTATGTTTTTTTTATGAAGATTCTACGGTGACCATGGTTGATGCTGTATTGGCTGAGAAATTAGGTGCTACTGGACCAACAGAAAGTTTGAGACTCAGTTGGACAAATTCTATGTCCTGTGAAGAACTCCACTCGAAGATGATTAGTTTGAAGATAAGAGGAAAGATTGAAGATACTGAGTACGATTTAAATGATGTTAGAACTATCCATAACTTATCTCTTCCTGTGCATTCAATGAACTCTAAAAATCTATCTAAGAAATGGAATCATATTCTACAAGTGAATATCGAATCTATGCATTGTGTGGAACCACAAATTCTCATCGGACAGGACAACATTGATCTCATCATTGCTAGAAGGAGGAAAAGAGGAGGAAAAAACCAACCTATTTTATCTAGATCGAAGTTGGGATGGGTTGTGCATGGAAACAACACAGAATAGTATTTTGGACGAATGGATCAAGAATTTTCCTTTTTTGATAAACCATCAGTATGACGATTTGGACCAACTAGTTAAAAAACCTTTCAAAATTGAGAATTCGGGTGTAAAATATCATAAAACATTACAACATCCAGATGAAATCAGAGCCTCTAAAATTTTGAAAGAGACGACAAAAAGGATAGCTGCGAACAGATGGGAAACTGGACTTTTATAGAACAATGACAATGTAACTTTACCAAATGATAAACCTACTGCCCTGTGCCGATTAAAATCCATAGAGAAAAAGATGAACAGAAACGAAGATTTTTGTCTTGAATACGAAAATAAAATAAGTGAATATTCAGTAAGAGGGTATGCTGCGGAGGAGGTATCAAAGGATACTATGAACGTTTGGTATCTGCCACATTTTACGGTAACAAATCCTATAAATCCAGAAAATACGGTTTGTGTTTGATGCAGCAGCGAACACAAATGGAATTAGTATCAATGATGTTTTTCTGAAAGGTCCAGACCTGCTGAATTCCTTACTTGGCATATGTTCCATAGAATCTTAATCAGATCTATGGATAGGCATGCACAGAGATTTTTGTGGAGAGACGGACGGAGTCGTGACAAAAATACGCAAAAATATGAAATGACCGCTATGATTTTCAGGGCAGTATCATCTCCAACATCGGCTCAATATGATATGAGAAGGAATGCTGCGGAATTTGAGGCAGAATTTCCACAAGCTGTAAAAGCCATTAGAGAACATCATTACGTCGATGACTACCTCGATAGTGTAGATACAATTGAAGAAGCAAAGAAAATATTATCGAAGGTGATCGAAGTTCATGGTCGAGGAGGTTTTGTCATACGAAACTGGTCTAGGAATTTCAAAGATGTTTTGAAGTACATACTAGAAGAGCTTCGAAATTTCAGAGAAAAAAATATGGACCTAGAAAAGGAGTTGCCTTTACCCACGGCAAGAATTTTAGGACTATTTTGGATGCAAAATTAAGATGTTTTTTCCTTTTCAATAAAGTGGGACTCCGAAGACCTTAAAATGATACTTGCCATAAACATAACAAAAAGGGAGGTACTGAAAAAGAATACTTCTTGAGGATATTTGGCGTTCAAAAATTGGATGAGATGATGAACTGAATGAAGAAATGATGAAAATATGGAGAATATGGGTTGAAAATATTGAAAAAATCTCAACTTTATCTATTCTTCGTTGTTGTGTTTCCAATATTTTTGAAGCCGAAGAAATTCAGATTCATATTTTCTGTGATGCAAGTGCCCAGGCATATGCAGCTGTTGTCTACCTTCGAATTCCTCGGCTTGAGTTTGCATAAAAAAAGTCACAATATAAAAATTGACACTATTTTTGGACTGATTCAAAATCCATCATTGGAAGGATCAAGGCCGATACCGTGATTTCCAAGCCAAATGTAGCACAAGTTGTAGGAAAGTTTGAAGAAAATGACTTGATCACAAGGAAACAATGGCCAAAATCTCAATTGCTTGCTGATCATTTCTGGCGCCGTTGGATTAAAGAATATTTGCCGTTATTAACCAGAAGAACAAAATGGTGCACATCACCCACAAGAAAAATCAAGGTTGGAGACATGGTGATTACCTATAGTCGACAGCCAACTCTTGAGAAACACTCAGCCCAAAGGTGTAGTGACTGCAACATATCCAAGTACAGATGACAATGTACAAGTAGTCGATATAAAAACAAATATTGGTACATACAGAAGATCTGTTACTAAACTTTGTCTTCTAGATGTTGATTAACATGAAGAATAGTGATGAATAAGATTTCATCACTGGGAGGGAGTGTTCCTGCGAAAGTTTAATTTAAAACGTTTGTTATTGTTAATCTTGTTCATTTAATTTTATAGTATGTTTGTGTCAATTTTCCTGTTCAACCTTGTATAAAAGACAATTGAGAGGTAGATTTGTAAACAAAAAGTTCTTGTAGACGGTACGAAAAAATTATCTTCTCATATCTTTATATCAAACAAAACCAAAGTCTTGACCAAGTCGAAAAGTAAAACCAAGTCAGATACATCAAGGAAACTTTAAGCGCCCATTAAACAATTTATGTCCGCTTCCGGACTCAGTTTCAGAAAATGCGTAGCATTTTCATGTGCATGAGTATTCAATAAAATAATTGGTTTTTGTTATTTGTACAAATTATCATTAACTGACCTGTGGCAAAAAATCACTACCAATTTCAGGTTTATTAGGATTATGTTTTCTTTTTATTTTTTTAAGATGATCTTGAACCATGCGTCTTCATAAGGGTATTCGATTATACACTTCCCAAAAATTTGTAAATCATAGACATTTGAGTTTGGAGTGTTTACATAACAACATAGTTTTGTCTGGAGCATGTGAATTCATCAGAAGTTTGCATGTTTTTTTTGAATGCTCCGTGACCATGCTTGGAACTTATGTTGAACCATCGTTGGTCTTCAGAAGTAATTTCATTGAAAAATAAATATATGCGTCCATGCATGATAATAACTTCAGTTACTTCAAGACCATGAACATTATCAAAAAATTCATGAACATTTTTCATGTAATCATTTTTTATATTAACGATGAAATTCATGATACGTTTTTCCAAACTCGTATTGTTTTTGTTTTACAGTTCTCTGAAGCTGGTGTACATATTCTCCGTTAATCCACATCTGGGACCACTTCAAGTGTCATTATCGAGAATGGTGATGGATATTATGAAGTTTTTCTTTTTATTCGTCTTAGTGTTATTCGCCTTTTCATGTGGTAAGTTGAAAAAAATGGGATTACAAAAAACACAAGAAAACCATGGCTTACTATAAGAAAACTATTTTCCTAAATTTTTATTTGCAGAAAAACAGCAAAATAAGTATGGGAATTAGTTTTCAAACAATACTTCAATATACAAAACTCAAAGAAATACATAGTCCAAGAGATCTACCTGAAAATTTTTCAAAAATATTTGAATTTTGTGTATGTTTTCGAATTTTAGATACAAAGAATATTGGTTTCTACTTTTTTGAGAATAGAAATAGTAAGACCTGACCCTGATAATGTGTTTCTCAAGTGGAATGTCTGAAAATAGCTGAATGGGTTAATTGTGAAAGGGATTACGGAAATTAATGAAAAAAACTAGTTTTCCCTATTGAAAAATCTTCAAAACCACAAAACATGGCTTTTAAGTTTGGTCTAAACCAAATTATATACATAATATATGTTCAAAAAATAAGGTGAATTCTGATTTTTCTCGAAAAATTTTTCATTTTGTCCCCTTCAAAGTAGTTCTCCTCAGATATTATACACTCGTGCCAGCGTTTTTTCTTATCCTCGAAGCAGTTGTGATATGCGCTTTTTGGTATGTCCTCGACCTCTCTCAGCAATTTGATTTCTATCATCTCAACCGTCGCTAAACGACGTTTTTCATGGATCTCCAAAAAATTACCAACAAGCAATTACGAGTGAACAGGTGCATTATCATCGTCATGAATTGTTTTTTCCGTACTGCTTTTCGCAAGCAGCGCATAACTTCAAGATAGTACTCCTTGTTGGTCGTACGATCATGTAGTAAGAACTCCTGATACACTACGCTGAGGTAATCGAAGAAAACAGTGAGCAAAACCTTGACATTTGATCAAAGTAAACATGCTGAACAGCTTTGAACATATGTTCGAGATGAGTGTACCAACATAAAAATTTTAAAAAATCTGCGAAATTTCAACATTTACCTTATTTTTTGAACATCCCACGTATTTTACCTCACGAAACTAATAGGAAACAAAAAAGTCCTACACATGATTATCTCGAAATATTTCTCATGAAGATACTGACTTATTTGCTCCTAAAATCAACACGTGAATCAATCACTGGTTTTTTGTAAGGTCTAAATCAACTCCTCTGGTATTATGCGGATGCAGAAAGAACCCGCTGTCGACATGAGGGTGATGATCATATGAGTCGTAATCAAACAGAGCCTGATTCCAATGCCTGTACCATATGGAGGCGATTTTCAAAGTGAGTATATTTTACAAAGACGTTATATTTTCTTGGCTGTTAGAAGGATGAAGAAAGGTAACAGGGTGTTTTTGATGATATAATGATATTTGATAGGACGAAGAAAAATTGGAGATATATTCCCTATCTAAAGGCAAATTGGGTGTACTATAAGGGACAGTTTTGGGACCTATGCTTCGAATAGAAATAATACAAAAATAAATGTTATGACCCTGATTTGCCTAAATACTCGGAGAGAAGTTGAATATATATTATTGTATCAGCCTTACAAAAAATACACATAAAAATAAATTTGAAATGGTAGACATCTCACTAGTAGACATCGATGTTTCGCCGTAAGACACTTGCCATAGGGTTCTTCAGTACCAACCTGGATAATATTATAAGAAAAAATACACAATCCATTCATTATAATGTTACCTAGATTGGTTTTGAAGAGCCTTGAGGCAAGTGCCTTACAGCGAAACATCGAGGTCAACAAGGAATGTAATAAATCACATTCGACTTTTTGAAATTGATAATCTCAGCAGTATATACAGTAACTTACTGGAACTACAACAAAAAACATGATGATGATAATAATGAAAATTGTATCAATCAACTCTCTCTAGACTCAAAGATTATCAAATCATCATGCCCATTGAAAAATGACATTTATGTAAAGGTATGACATTTGTCAAATCCAAAAAATCCATACATGTTAAACTTTTTTGTTTTTCACTCATTTTCACTGTAAGTATGATTTGTTAAGTTATTCATTGGCAAAAAAATCCACCACTCAATAAATCCAACAGTTT